AGGCAACAAATTGTATGAATATAGTAGGTTACAGGAAAAGACCCTTATTAGCTTTCCTACCAATTTCCCACCCTTTGTTTAAGCAGAGAATTTTACTTACAGGTCTCATTTAAATGTTATTTACAACTTCTGAAGAAAGAGGAAAGACAAAGAAAAAGAAAGTCAAAGTTTGTCTTCTAGAATTTTTCATATCCTATTTCAGGTAATGAAATAGCTGGAAATAGCCTAAAAATGATTCACACACTTTTATACACCATTGTAGACACATGCTGGATAGATGGTTTGCATATGAATTGGTTAATGTATTGCAGAAGAGAGTAGATTTTTTTTTTTAGTGCCAATAACCAAGTAAATGCTTCAATACTGTTTTACTAGCTTTTGGCATTAGATGAAATTTGAGCTTCTCTAATCTTACAGAAACCAATTCTACCCAAACACAATCTGCTGTCACTACGTTAAGCCATAAATAATGAACAAAATTAGTCCTTGTCCCACATATTTTCAAAATGCTGTGTTTGAGGTTTTTTGTTTATTCATTTTTGTTTGATTGGTTTATTTGGGTTTGGGTTTTTTGTTGGGGGGTAGTGTTTTTTTGTTTCGAAGGAAATTAAGCAACTTCCTGCAATACGTGAACTACTCATCTCATTCATTCAATTTTGATTCAAGTATCCTAACTGGGATAAAATAAAATAAGGTGTGATGAGTATGTGAAAGCCCATAGGGCTGCAAAAACTCTACAGGGATAGAAGCACACATGCTTCTTAGTTGTGCTGCATAAGGTGTAGTACAATCCTGCTCTTTACTCTTGGAAAGGACAAAGACCATGTGGATAATGACACAGAGAAAGCATTCTTCCCTTGTCTCTTTCCATATGGTCAAGGGAGTAATTACAGGAGTGCCAGACTATTGCCAAAATGTGATTTTGAGATGAGGTTTAGTCTAATAGTCAATCCACACTGACATTAGGCACTAGGTAGCAACAGTACTAGCATGTTCAGGAACATGTAATCCCTAGTCCTGCCATGGGTGCAAGAACTATGAGCAGAACTACCACTATTATTCAGAAAATAGCACTGATCTCAAAGTGTTAGGAGAAAAATCCTGAATAAACTGTGCAAGCCAGAGAGATATCTGGGTGTATAACAAGGCAGAAGAGTTATAAAGGAAGGAATACACTGCATAAATTTCAAAGAAAATCACTATTAATAGTAAAAACACTTTTTTTTTTCCCCACTGGCTCGTGATGTTATGAAATCTCTTTGTTGCAGGGTACAGAGAAAAAAATGTGTTCAAACAGGAATGGAAAACAAGCCAAAACAAAAAATTAAACACACTCAAATCTGTTCACCAGTAATCTTGAGATACACCTAACCATGTAACACTTTTCTCATTCTAATATCATGGTACTTGGTGTCTCTCTGCTTCAAAGAAGATAATTTTCCTGCAATTTTTGCTCATTCACTGGGCATTTTTCTTTAATATTCCATAAAAGGAAGGCTGCAAAATAAAAATAAAAAGGAACATAAAAATCCATCTTTACATGGTGAGTTCTTAAATCTCAGTACTCTTCCTGCAGTTTTCTTTTCTTTCTTACAAAAACTCTTTTTTTAAATTTAATGCTGCTTATGTGTTAAAAGAAGTGTTAGTGTTCAGTGAGGAAGTCAACTTTCAAAGTTGTCTTGAAGTGGTTATCCTTCTAAAAACAGAATGCAAAATCCTCAGCTTGTGTGTGGAACTCGGATAACCAGGTGCCAAACTTTCTCCAACAACACCCAGCACAAAAATGAATGGAGAAGTGCCTTCAGCTGCTCAGTTACTGCCGGTGATTTTCATGCCCAGCCTGCTGAGCTTTATGTACAATTGCGGCAGAAGTGCGCAAAACTAAAGCACCCATTTGCATTCAGAACCCAAGCGTGCCTTTTCATAAGTCTTTGCCTTGGCATTCTACTGCCTAATGTGTACGCAAATGTGATATCTGAGCATACCAATAATCAGAAGTTGAAAAGGATAGGCATGCATTTTGAGGCTGAGCTGTTTCTCAATACCTCAGCTGATTTTAGGGCATGAAAAAGAGAAAGTTAATTGCACTCAGAGGAGTACAGAACATCATGTGCTGGACAGTAAAATTTTTAGGCAGATTTCAGGCTACAAACTTAATTTCTTCCCTGACTTTTTAGGCAGATTTCAGGCTACAAACTTAATTTCTTCCCTGACTTGCTACTAACAAGCACGCATTATCAAGCAGGGATAACCTGACTCCACAGTAATCTGGCAGATAAGGCTCAGTGATTAAACCTACTTAACCTGCATACACAGTTATTAATAATGGTCTTAATTCAATTTATTGTCCAGAAGACAGTGCAGTTGCCTGATAGGCACTGTGTTTCAGTTCCTCATTTCTAGACACTGCTCTCTACAAGGCTGGCAGGGAAGGTCTTTCAGCAAAGCACAAGGTTCCCTGGAGTCAAAATGAAAAGCTAAGGACATCCTGAGGTTCGGGAGGTGGCCCTCAGTGTGGGAAATCACTTTTGGGTATGTGAGGGTTTGGGTGAAGGCAGTCAATTTTCCCCACAGCACAACAGCATTGTGCTTTGCTTTGGTAGCTGGAAAGGTATTGACAACACGCCAGCTTTTGGCTACTGCCAAGCAGTTCTGGCACAGCATCAGTGCTGTCTCTCCAACATTTCCCACACAGATGGGCAAGATCTTGGGAGGGAGCACAGCCAGAACAGTGGACCCAAAAGGACCAAAGAGATATTCCATGACGTAGGGCATCTGATATAAAACCTAAGAGAAGGTGGAGGTTGGAGTGGGGGAGTGGGCATTTCTTATTTACAACCTTTGCCTTCTGAAGCAATTGCTATTTGAATTGAAGCCCTGCTTCCCAGGAAGCAGCCAGACATTTCCATAAGGAATAAGATCTTTCGCTTTGCTTGGCATGCATGTGACCCTTAGTTTTGCTTTCATAAACTGCTTGAACCACAAGGTCTTCTCCATCTTATTTTCACACACTGTCCTGCTGAAGAGAGGGTAATAGACTGGCTCGGTGGGCACCTTGCACTAGCCAAGGACTACCTATCACACAGAGGAAAAGAAGTCAAAAATAGTAGGAAAATTAGAGAAAAGGTCAAACGCTGCGGAGAAAGCAGTCTTAATTCTTGTGTCAAAATATAGCAGAATGTAGGTATAAAAATTATTAGCAGATTAGATCATTTGATCAGGTCAAAAATTTGTACCCTTTTGATGTATTCTAACAGCTGTTTCATAGAGCTCTTCTCTGGACAAACACTCAGTAGTGAAAAGTCCAGTTCAGCTCCCTAGTTAAAATGATTATAGAAATAACAAACGGCAATTATTTGGTCCACTATATAGCACTGAAATCACAATACTCCAGGAACAAATACCTACAAATGACTACAGTACCATACTAAAAAAAAAAAAAAAAAAAGGAAATTAACTCACCAGTTCTCATATTAGATCACTGAAGACCCTGACTGATTCAGTGCTGCTCATTGTGGCACTGGTAAATGTTCTCCCTCTAGGATGAGCACATTTCTCCCAAATTCTTGCCCAAAAACTTTAAATGAGCAAGCTGAAGGAGCCACACTGAATTTGGCTGTTGAACAAAAAGACTACTAACTTTTCATCATTTGTATTTCAAATGTGCTAAGCAGAAGTGCATTTTGTAAGAAGCCTAAGATGGATGTTTTTTCCTTGAAAAAAGATTCACATTACACATATTATGATCTTTCAAGGGTGAACATACTTCATTTGTTGTGACATCTGTGGATGATTACCAGCTCTCAATAGGTCTTAAGGGCATCAGAGAGTTAGCCCATCGCTTTGCAGCATCTTACACTCTTAAAATTCTTTCAAAGAGGAATATAACTGAAGATTTATATTGCTAGAAGAAATTGATACACCAGAGAAGGGGAAAAAACCCCAACACAACGAGACAAAAAAGCACCCCAGCTGATAGGTTAAGTTTACAAAGATTAAAAGCTATTTAAGGAAAAAAAATCTGTTATGAAATAATACTAAGTACAAACCTAGGTCCTTGTTTGGAAACACAGGTACATGTATTCCAAAATGCCAAGTTATTTCCACGCTTTAAGGATATGAAATTGTTGAGGAATCCATTCAGTGTAGATAGCTGGGTACGCAGCTGCAGTAGGAGCTGCAGGCTGAGCTCTGGGTGGGAAGCCCAGGCCATGAAATACCACCCTTTGCATGACAAAGGGACTTGCCAAGCATTCACATATTAAGAGTAGGAAATTATATGAGAGATTCTTCTAAGGTGTTGTATTTCTTTTACTGTTAAAAGAAAAAATTTCTTGAAAAATATTTGAGGGCATTTTTTTCTTCTTAAAAAGGTAGTCTAAAATGTGTTGCAGCAATATGAGAAAGCTTAGTTTTAATAATTTTATATCTACATGATCTTTCAGTTCCATAATGCTTTCTAACTGCACATGTAGAAAGATTGAAGAAAAAAAACTTATTTAAAATTTTCAGGGTTTTTTAAAATAATATTTTAAATAATACATGATCTTGTAAACCTACTACTTTTACTGTTTATAACTTTAAATTAATAATGTGTGCTTTCTGAATAGTACAACCTCAAATAAAGACATCCAGATAATTATTTTTAAAGTTAATTTCAGAATCCATTTTTTATTTGGAGCTTTCATTTTTGCTGCAAGATACATTTTCACACTTTCTACTATTTAATACAAAGAAAAATGAGACTAAAATTTATATTCTCATTCAAATGCGGTTCTTTAAAATGCACACCTCAAAAAATACAGGTGTTGTCAAAGAAAATGCAGAATATTTTTCAGCGTAAGTCATTAAAAACCTCAAAGTCACACAAGTCAAGATGAAATATACCAATGGAAACATTTACAGCAGACAAAGCTCTAAAAAACAAAAGCTCATACTCTCATTACCTGCCCCCATCTTGAAGAGTTCCAAACAGAACCAGAGGGTAAAATCAGACTCACCTTCTGAATAGTTATGATTCCCTCCTGGGTGTCTTTGTCAACAGAAACTTTGAATACTCCCAAGCCATCACCATCCACAATCTTGTACTCCATTTCAGCATTAGGTCCAACATCTGCATCTGCAGCTTTTATTCTGGCCACCACAGAAGCCACTGGCAAAGACTCTGGGACATTATACTGATAAGATCCTGTAAAATTTAAAAAAATAATGAATTCAGAGTCTTCTAGGACTGAAAGCTATAAAAAAAAATAAAAATCTATCTTTCTTAAATCTACATTCCTTTAAATCATGTGCCTGGACATTTACTCAGGCTACAAGAAAATATTCTTCAGTTTTGAAACAGAACTGCACTTTTTGCTAGGCTTTCTTTGTGACAGACTCCAAGTACAACAGGCACAACTTCTTCATATGACAAGAGAAGTATAAGGCAAAGAGGCAAAAATAAAATTCAAAACTTAAATGCAAATCATAATGTGAGTCCCTGATAATCCAGTTTTACTTTGTTTACCAGAAAAGAGGAAAGAAAAGCAAATAAGTAAAATAATATCAATATAAAAACGTATTATTATATAGTTTATATCTTGATTAGGCAGTTCACAATCTGAATATCACTAGAAACTAATATACATTAATTTCTTTATCAGTAAATACACCATCTTGACAATTCTAACTCTTGTTATTCAAGCAGAAAATTATATATATGTTGTCAAAAGGGTATCAGAGTGCATTCTGTAGTCAATAACACCCTCACCTTCAAAAGAAACTTCAGTTATTCTATTATTATTTCAAGCAGTTGGTGGCTTGAAATAACAGGAAATCTATTATGTACAGATCTATTTTTTCCATCGTTGGAGGTGAAGCTGGAGCTGACATGAATATATCCTTCACATTACTTTCTATGTTACCACGTTTTGTTGGGTTTTTTTTATTAATAAAAAAGCACCCCGAACAGAACACTTTGAATAAACTGAGCTCTTCTGGTTTGAGCATACAGCTGTGTGCTCCTTTCTTTAGGTTAGGATGAGAGCCACCTTGGTCAAAGAAATCAAATGGAGGGAAGGTGACTTCCCAGCTCTTTGGTATTTAATTCTTAAGGAAACACTGTAAGCATGTGTCAGTGCCAAAGGAATACAAAGGATTAAGGGTCAAATTAAAGAATCCTGAAGCCTAACTGGAAAGACCTAAATACCTATTAGGATATTTATTTTTTTGTCTATTTATTCACAGAGAGGAAGTAAAATAAATTAATAAATGTCCCTGCTGCTGTAAGCCATTTCAAATGATCTGGTATGCATGAGGCAAAGAAAAACAATGCTTACATAATAATAATAATAATAATAATAATAATAATAACAACAACAATAATAATGATGATGATGATGATGATGTAGTTTTTCAGTCAGTGTTTAACAAAGAACTTAATATGGAAAATAAGGACTTTTTGTTTAGAAATAGCACAGTGTGTAAGGAAAATAGCAGTGTTTAGGAATAATATTACAAGTCACATATTGACAAAGGAACTTACTGCGTGGGAAGCGGGGCGGGTTGTCATTTACATCTGTCAGGGTGACAGTCACAGATGTAGTCCCTGACAATCCCCCATTCTGCCCAACCATGTCCTTTGCTTGGATAACTAACAGGTACTGGTCCTTGGCTTCTCTGTCCATATTTGGAAGGGCAGTCTTGATAACACCTGCACAAAGACAAGGTGTCAAGGATCACACAAGCAAAAATATGCTGCTGTAAAAGCTGAGTTTGCCTTTAAAAGGTAACAGCAGATCAGTGATTGCAGCAAGAGTGGAATGAATTAATTCCAACACTAATATAACAGGGTTTGACTAGGAGTTGCACTGACATACCATAAGCTTATTTTAAATAGTCACCAAACCCATCAATTTTTCTTTACTTGGTAACACAGTGCATGACTGTGTTTTTCAAGTATCTTCTCCCTGACCTGGTCTTCAAAATGTCTTGGGTAACACTTCCTTCCATGCAAGATGTAATTTTCTGTATTTGATTTCTCACTCTTTTAGAGCTAGGAAATCAGAATATTCAGCATTCATTATTTAAAATTCTAAGGTCAAGATTCATTTCACTATCTTTTGGATACCCATTCAAGACATTAACTCTTACCAATACTGATCCACACTTTGCAGATACATGAAATGGTCTTATTTTGCCATATATCGGGTTTACCAATGTCCACTTCTAAAACACTGGCACAATAAAGAAATTTTTTTATTTACTAATAAAATACTTAAATACCTGAAGTATTTTTTATGTCCATTTGATGATCTGAATAATTAACAATTTGTAATTAATTGACATGAAATGAAAACTAGAAGAAAATTCCATGTTTTATTCTTTCAGCTCTGCTGATATGCATCAAAAAATAAATATGCCTTCTCAAAATATGATGATTTTATGAATATTTCATGCCCAGTACATAATACAGCTGCTAACCCTGATTTCCAGAGAGGCAGCCGTTTGCTACTCCAGTACTTAGTGTCAGCAATAAAAGAAACATAAACAAACTAAATAAAGAAGAGGCACATGGGGACACATATCTCTTCATCTGCTATTTGTTGAATGTAGCTTAGAGTTTTATTTCTTTTTTCCCTTATGAATTTTGGACTTGCCATTAATCACCTTTGGATTGAAACATTTATTTCACCAACAGACTGCCTGGCACTATTTCATCCATTTTTCAACATGTGTGAAAATGCAATTAATATACAATTTAATAGTGTTATTGTTTCTACTTTGCTTTTCCTGGCATGCTTGTTTTTCTGTCATAGTTAAATTACCAGGTAAAGTTACCCAGTCATTTGGAAGCAAACTGTCATGCACACAAGAAATTTGAGTATCACATCAAAGTGATGAAAATGTATGCAAACATTTCAGTCTGAATTCTTCAATATTTTTATTTAACAGAAACCACCATATTATTTTTCACTGGTTGCCTGTAGCCATCATCATAACATACATGGTATATAAGCACACATGGAGAGGGAGAAAAAGAGAGAAAACCTATGAATACTCACTGGAGGGAAAAGGACAGTGCTATATATCCCTGCTGAGCATGGATCTGCTGCAATATGGGGATAATTATAGTAGTTATTTCTGCAAATTTAGATGCTGCTAAATAGAGTGCGACTTTTTGGTCACAATATTGGGACTCAGGTCTGATTCATATCATGGATCGTTTATAATTAAAAGGGTGATATTTTTTCTCTTTTGTCTCAGCTTGGTTATATCCAAAATGAAGATTATAACTCTTCTCTTTGTAGGTGTAAGTGAAGGCTCAAGCACTAAATTGAAATGAGCAAAAACCTACTTTCCTGCATTATGAAAAGTCCAGCAGAATTGGTAATATTTATAAAAACAACAGAAGATTAAAGGTTGCATTTGGTTGTGGCTTAAAAATATTCACATTTCAAGAAAGTTATAAAAACAAAGCTTCACTAGCAATATGCTTTGAAAGTGGGCGCAAAATATTATATCTGACAAGTATAAGAAGCACAGTGTGTCCTTCTTCAAATTAATAAAAAAGGGATTCATTTTCCACAACTAAACTTCACTTTGAAAAGTAGAATGGAGAGTAATTGAGCCTTAAATATATTCTTATGGAACCTGACTATGTGACATTTAGATATTTCTGAAATCTGAAAAAATGTTCAATGAATTTTGAAATTTTCATTGATAAGAGAGATGACAATGGGCAGCAGACCAATTAGCTGATAGATTGAAAAAATAATAAGTTCCATTCCAGCAAAGTCTCTTTATTACATAGCTCAGACATGTGGCTTTCATAATGCATTCTAAACAATAAGAGATTAAATATCAACAAAACACGAATGCATTCAATTAACAATGTGGTCATATTAAGAAGTTCCTAGCAAGTTATAATGAACACTTTCCTCTTTTTCTCAACATTACTGCAAAGGGTTTATGTAAATTTACCTGTTTTGGGCTCCACAGAGAAGTAAGGCTGTCCTTGCAATATGCTGTAAACCACTCGAGCACTGTTGCCGTAAGTAGGATCATCTGCATCAGTGGCTGTCACTTGAACCACAGAGGTACCTGTAAAATGTTTGAGGGACTGTTGCACATGAAAGAGAGAAAAATCTGAACTCCACTTACTCTATATGCTGTGCCAGTACATATCTGGAACAGTGTGAGGTGGCTTTTCACAACTGCTCATCACTTCCATGCTGACTCTGTTTACTGAATCAGTTTTTACTTGTAAACTGGTAGTATCAGTTACTACAGAATTCCATCTTCTCAAATAGTCACAAGCATTGATTCACAGCTCAGTGAATCAGCTGAGTAAAGTCATCTCACTCATTAGCTCCTCCTCTCTATCTCTGCCTTTGTCTGGTGGAGGATATGTCAGCAAAATTTCAGTAATGATGGTGAAGCCTGAAGTTTTTTTGAGTATGAAATACAGTAGTAGTAGTTTTCCTTTCAAGAGAAGTCTGCTTGCTGAAATTGTAATAACTCATAAGAAATTCAAACATACATACATATATATGTTTTACAAATTTTGATAAATGTACACAGAATTCTTGTTAGTCTATAGAATTGTTTACTGCTTCATAAAGAGATGGCTGAAGAGTGTCAGCTCAGAGAAAATCTGGTGAAAGTGACCTCTAAATTCCTTTAAAAAGCAATAATTTCACTCAATAATTTGCAATACTGATTTCCTTCAATATATCTGCAATATCAATTGTGGTGGTTATCTATTGTGTAAAGATTCCTCAAGCAAAAAATGTCTCTATTTTAACAGAAATTAAAAAGAAAAATTTCTAACTGGCTAACAAGAAGGTTATGTTTTGTGAGGATCTCATTCTGCATCCATCTCCTATTCATTATGTTCTCCATGTCAGTTCCCATTTGTTTTGTTCTAGACAACAGCTTTCATGGTGTATGCTGAGAGCAGAATAAAATAACACTTGGAGCCAGGGCCTTGGCCATGGTCACCATCCTTTGATAGACAGAAAAGATTATTTTTTCTCACTGGCAGATTGTCTGTAACATTCAGACCTTCCATTGAACAGCACAGGGACCCATTTGGAGGTGAGACTGCAAATTAATATTGTATCAATTTGGCAGATGCTCAGTAAAAATCTTCAAGAGAGGATCAGATTGCTTCATAGACTTTATTTATTCACACAATTAGAGAGAAGCATTTTTTAAACACAACGCTCATTTTCTGAAAGGACAAGCTTTTGACATCTGAAAATGAGACCAGCAAGCCTTGAAATGACTTTTTAAGAATCAACTGCAATAGCAAGTGTCCACGTTGAACTTAACATAAATAGTATTCTGGTAAGTTTTACTTGGAATGTTCAGGAAATGGGAGAAAGCTCTGAAATTTTTTTTATCTTTTATAGTATATCACTCATCCATTTTCCTCATCTTTTCCATTCTGAGTTAAGTAGGACATCATAAATGGAGCACAGGACTCAAACTTTGGAGCAAGGATTAAGTGCAGCCCTCCATAAAATGGAACAGACTGCAAAGGATGGGTCCTGCTTGAAAGAATTCTGACCAGAAATGATCATTCATAAAACAAATTATTGGGGTTATGGCCTAATTAGCCAACATTCCTGATCTCTATTCCCGAAGTATCCATGACAAAGTAGTAGTAGGGTTGCAATTCCATTTAAATGCAATTTTTCTGTCTTGTGACCAGTCTAATATTTTTGGACAGGGAAAAGGTTCTTCCCAACCTGAAATTTCACATGCAACTATTAAGTAGATAGAAATTTTAAAAAGAAGATTGCTAGTTAATTCATCAAGTTTTTTATCAGTTTTGGGACCTAAAAATACATCAATTTTCTGTTCACCAGTAACTAAGAGCTTTGATTCACTATGTCAAAGTGATTTTACAGATTACTCTATGATGTAATTTCATACAGGGACCTATTTTAAACTTGCCAAAGTCTATCCAGCTTTTGAGAACAAGGGTATAGTAATGACTGTTTGACATCCTGTGTTCTTTGTGAAAGCCAGGCTTACCGCATTTACAAAGTCACTAAGCCCTGCCAATGAAGCTTACAATGTCTGCAAATATTGGCAAAAGTGCTTATAAACCTCTCACACAGTTATGTCTTTCCCCCTGCTCTTGCTGCTTTCAAGGGCCCCAGACCAATACAAGATCAAAGAAATTACAAGCTCTGCAATCTCAGCACAGACATTTTCAAAATACTGCCAGTTTAGAAGTGCTTGTTTGCTGTAAAAATCTATTGATGTAGCAAACAAATCCTCTACATTTCAGGAAATGAATAAAGTCATTATCTGAATTTGATTGTGTCTCTCCTAAAACACATGAATCCTTCAGAAAAGGGTGGGTTTTAAGTAGAAATTCTAACATCAAATCTTTCTGTGATAATTCCATTTAAATGTAATCAGTAACTAAAAAGCAATGGTATTTTTCCAGTCCCTCTGTGCTAATCAACTTCTTCTAAACATCAGTGGGGGAAAGATCTAAAACTAAAACCCATTATATTGTCATTATTTCTTTGTTAATTGCACACACACCAAAAAAAAAAAAAAAAAAAAAAAAAAAAAAGAGCTTTTGAAGCCCTATGCTGAGAGGGAGATTTCTGCACACCATTTTTTTCAAGAATATGCAAGATAACAGAAGGTATTCTAATTATGTGAAAAGTCCTATGTGTAGGAAATCTGTTCCAAGGAAACAAATGCACAGAAAGATCTGTATTTGTGGATTTCCAGAGATCGTTTCCAGAAGAAGCAGATTGCTCTTGAAGAACAGGAATTCCTTCAGAGTAGGATAACTGCCATGTACTGCTGTTCTAATCTTTCTGCAATGGATTGATGTCAAACTAAAATACTTCCCTTTTAAAAAAGACCCAAATCATAAAGTTTTGGGGATACTTATGGATAGTAAATTAATTTAGAAGTGAGGGAAAATGGGAAGTTGCATTGTAGTTCTAAGTACATCATCTTAGAAGAGTTTGTGTTCCTGCACTGAAATTGTCTTCCTTGTGTCTGTGGATGCTTTGCCTCACCCTCCAGCAGAGACAATCAGCTGCCATACCTGCATCCAAGGGTAGGACTGACAGGTAACAGGGACAGTCAACAAATGGTACCACACCTTTACTCCACCCCACAAAATGAGTGTTCCAGTAAATCTAATTTAGTCAATTTGTTCAGAGCCCTGGAGTGCAAGTGTAGACAGGACACTGACCCTACCCCCAACTTTCATTAGTGTCTTAATATCAACTGTTCAATTATAACTTAAAATATTAGTTAGAGATATTACTTACAAAATATTTGTGTATTTTGTATGAGTTAAAAAAATAAGCATGCATTATTTATTTTAAAAATAGCTTTCTTTTGTAAGTATGGATTCCTCAAAAAAAACTTTCTCTACAGTTATGCCTTTTTAACAAAACTTGGATATCAGTTCATTAAAAGGAATTCTACATGTAGCAACATCATAAACCTTTTCAACAATTGTAGCAAATAATGAGAAAAAAATCTGTGCTGCTTTATTAAAATGCTCCACACAATTCTTTTCTTGATAGTAGTTACAGACTTAATTCTGTGTGACTGGTACAGATCCCTGGTTTTATTTTCAATATTTTTAAGATAATTTGCAACATAATGTTTGCTAGATATTGATAGAGATTACTAAATTTCAGTAATCTCAGAACTTAACCTATTAACTCTGATATTAAGGTAAAAGGATGGGAGGATATTTGCAGAGAGGATCTTATATTTAGAATGCTATTTGTACTTAAATTTAGCCAAGTCAAGGCTCAACAATGTTCCTGACACTGCAGAGATTAACCTTTTCTGTGATAGGAAGAGAAAAAGCTAAACTGGTTGCTGAAAATTGAGTTGGAGATCCTTCAACTCAATTTCCATTCGGAAATCCAATGGATCCATTTTGAATCTCTAAGTGCATTATTTTAAAAACCTCTACAGAGCTTTTTAGAAAGCTTGCAAGTAACTTGCAGGATATTTTATGCAAATTTTGAAATAATGTTTTATGAGAAATTATTCTCTGACTTCTGTTTTAATATTGGTGAGATCATTCAAAATAAAACTGGTTTCTAAAACTAGAATAATTTACCAAATGCATAATTTTTAAACTGCACAAACTCTTATCAATTGAATTGTAGCCACATAAACAAATTGAAAATAGACCTTTAAGGCAGTCAGTTATTAAAAGTATTAATTTATATCAATTAATGATGTTCACTATGTCTAACATACAAAACCATTCCACGATGGCATCACATCTCTACATGGTATCAGCTGCCACTAAAAACATTAAACACCTTTACTATCAAGTTATCCAGAATTTCTGTATGATCCTTATGTACAACAATCCAGACTGGTTCTGCTTGGTTCCTTCTGGTATTTCTATGCTTCCACCACCAGGTCTCACCCACAGCTGATGCAGCAATGCTTCCACAGCTTTTCCCCTCCAGGAGTGTGAAAGGGGAAAGTCAGAACCCTCTTCAGCTCCTCCCTCCCCTCCCACAGCCTCGTTATATTGCCTTCACTCGGAGAAAAATCTCAAGAAAGGTCTCAGATAATCAGCAAGGTCAGACAAAGGGAAGGAGAGGTGGCTTGTGCCTGGAGAGACACTTCATGCAGGTTCTCAAAGCCCACTACATACTGTATCAAGGATATAAGCCTGATACAGTGCTTTTGCATGCTTTACTTTGTTATATAAATCAGATATTTCTATCCATCACAGTCAGGGGTAATAAATGGCAAGAGAGATATTTGTTGTGCTGGGTAACAAGCAAAGCTGTTGATATGGCTGGAGAGCAAAGAAGATTAAACAAAACAAAACTATGTTGGGCATTGCAATTCTCATCCCTACTTCCCTTGGTTATAACTCAAACAGATCAGTATCCTTTTGTTTGAAATATAATGCTACTCAGTTTTTTAAGTATCAGACACACTTCAAAAAAACATGACAAAAACAAATCCTTATGATTTTCAGATAAGCCATATCTTTGGGGGTTTTGCCATGAATAGATTTATAAGCCATCAAGATATTTACTTTGTTCAGGATAATCAATATAATTGGGCCTGACCCAAATATAATTTAAACTTGACCTGAAGTCATTTCAAATAAAAGAAGAGATTGACTTCAATTAGCCTTAGATAATGTCCAAAAATATTTGTCAAATAAAATACAGAACAATTATACTTGCATAACCAGTCTGTAGGTTAAAGGTTATAGTTTTCCTAGCTTTATAGTTAATTTGGGTTTATAATCCTGTGATCTCTTTCATTTCCTTTAATACTCAATTAAAAATCCTTGTCATGGATACAATTTTAAACAAAATAGGAGAGAGATACTTTGTATCTCCTTAATATTTCATGGATGCTCTAGGTGATTAATTAAAAATTATGTTTTATGAATAAAGTATGAATTGCTGTAACTATGTAAGGCAAAATGCGACAAAGTGTGACAAAGGAATTTCATGTTAATCCTTAACTCTGTAACAATGCAGTCTTTGCTATGTGTGTGATACTAATCATGAAGATGTTTAAAATGTGCAGTTTCAGGAAGTTCATGAATCTGAAACCACCCTTAGCTGACACAAACTTCAAAGAGTGCACTAGTCTCAGTTAATAATTTGGCATAATACTTACCCGAATCGAAAATACATTTGGTGTTGCACAGTCCATGTGGGAGAAAATATCTTTTACTCCTTTATGATTTAAAGATTCAACAAAATATGCAAAGCACCTCATTTTGTAAAATTGTCCTTATGTTCTCCACTGCACACTGTGCACTCCCCACAGATTGATTTCCAATATATTTTTGAAACAAATGGAGCATAGGTAGGAGTAGAGGCATGGATTTGTATGTGTAAGTAAACCTCATATATCTGTAGAAGTTGTCTGTACATCAATATACCAGTGCAAGAAAAGACAGGGGTGAGAAATGCAAAAGTGAATTATGGAGATAATTTCTTTTCAGGTCATAAGACAAAAGTGAAAAAAATTCTAATAGTTGCTGCATGCTACACTTTTCTTAAATAATCTTATTCTAAAGTAAAAGAGCATCTTAATTAAGAAAAAACAAATTTATTTTAATGCAACATATTTTTCAGGTTTATTATTTAGGTTTTACACTCTTAGATTATCTCTTGTCTAGATTTTTTCAAAGTTCAGAAGTAAAAAGTTCCTAGCATCATATCACAACTTCTTCTCCTCCCTGTTACTCTGAAAAAGCTGTGATGTCTTTCTTCCAAGGCTAGTACTGCCTCTTCAGCCATCCACATAGTGCTCAAGTGACAATGAGCAAATGCCAAGTATAATGAGAAATAGTGTCTATGCTCATTGCTTAGGAAAATAAATTTATAGAAAACTCATTAGCAATGTTTTACTTATCTTCTATTGACTAAGCTGAGTTTCAAATATATAAGCAATGTTTGCAACTGATTGCTGCAGGGCACTTAGGTAGGGAAGATTTTTTTCTCTTTAGCTCCAATTTAGATGCATTGTTTAATATTCAAAAACACAGGAGATCATACTGAGGAAACTATAGCAAATTTTATGTCCAGCCATACTGTAAAAGTACTACATTTTAATATGATTTAAAATCAGTTAAACAAAGAAAATCTTTATTTCAATCAGCACAGAACTCTCTCAGGTGGAAGTGGGCCTTCCCATACACATACTTGTAGTAAACCAGAGTTGGTTTGTTTTATTTGTTTTCTTTTTTTCTTTTTGTTTTTGTTTGTTTGATTGGTCAGGTTTTTTTGTGCTTGTATTTATGATTTCATCTTAAAGTGACATTTACTGAAACATCTCTGGGCCAAGCCTTAATCTGGTCTGAAAGAGTCAGCTTTCAAAGGAACAGCGGCACCTGACAATGGATGAGCATTTGGTCACTTTATAAGGAAGAGACAGTGGTTTTGATTTTGAATTTCTTCCCTAATTCAAATTCAGGAAAAATCAGCAGTTCTTAGTTTCCAGCAAAGGGTCTGAAGCATCTAAGACTTCTCTGATTTCAGTAGAACTTTGAACTATCTCAAGTTGTACCCCAGTTCCTGCTGCTTGCCTACATTCCCCAGAAAATGGAATTTCAGTGTAAGAAAGAAATATCCAACAAACTATTACTAAAATGTGCAAAACTTTTTAAAAAAATGATGCTATTCACTATCAGGAACTTGAGGAGCTGGTTATGAAAAGACCTTATCTGAATGAAATTATAAATTACAACCTCTGAGTACCGTAACATAGGTGTGAAACCTATTACTGTTAATGGGAATGATAAAACAAAGCCTCTGGGCCCTGGAATGAGAAATGCACCATAAAATGGTTATCTGAATCCTTGCATAGCTATTTGAGTTTCACAACATTTTTGAAAGGGTAAATACTTAATCTAGCATGTTATTTCCAGTTTAGTCTTGAAATATCTAACTGTTGCAGGTGCCTCATAGATAATTAAGTAGCTTAGTGCGAAACAGTAAAAAATAATGAAACTTTTAAAAAGGCAATAGGAAAAAATTTCCCACAACACCAACAGTGTACTTTGCACTTACCCACAGGAGACATCTCAGGAACTCCAGCAGTGTAGGGACCATCCAGAAATTTTGGCTCATTGTCATTGATGTCCTGAATCTTAATGACGAACTCAGACTCTGGCTCCACGGGTTTATTAGTCAGCCTATCTAGAGCTTGTGCTCGGAGCGTGTAGTAGGCCTGCTCCTCTCGGTCCAGCCTCTTTGTAGCATGAATATCCCCCGTGTTCTCATCAATAATGAAAATGGAACTTGCCCCTTCGCCTGACAAGATGTATTTGATGGAACCATCTCCTTTATCAACATCAGAGTGAAGCTGGTGAAAAATTGATGAGAGATGAGATTAACTTACAAGAGAGTCAGTGGCATGGAGATATGTAAAAAAAATAATTCCTGTGTTGAGCAGTAGTACATGAAATTTTATTGTTCCTGGAAATATAAGCTGAATGTTTATCAGACACAGCATGTGTGTGACCATTATAATCTGTAAATTTGCTCCTTTAAGCACAAAAACTTCATTCTTTCCTGCAAAAAAACTCACTCTTCTTATGCCAGATTTTTACACAGGCAAACACATGCACACATATGATCATAACCATAACTTCACTCCTATCTGAATTTAACCACATTGTTCACTTCAGTTTATAATCCTTCTGAAGGGTGAGACTTCAAACAAATGGCAGTAAAAACTTCATGTCAGTGTGTGTTTGTTCTTGTGTGTATTTATGTATTTTCTCTGTGTTTACTGCAGAGAGCAGTAAAATATGTCAATATTGCTCATGAGAGAAAGCAGCAGGTACTGATCTTTCACTCTCATGACCAGTGACAGCATTCGAGACAATGGCATGAAGCAAAGTTAGGGGAGGTTTAGGTTGGATAGGAGGAAAGTTTTTCAATAACAGGGTGGTTGGGCACTGGAGCAGGCTCTCTAGGGAAGTGGTCCAGCACCAAGCCTTACAGAGTTAAGAAGAGTTTGAACAATGCTCCCAGGGATGTGGTGGGACTCTGGTGGTTTCCTGTGCAAGACCATGGGCTGGACTTGATTATCTTGAAAAGTCCCTTCCAGTTCAGCATATTCTATGATTCTATAAAATGAAGTAAAATGTACTGGTTGATAATTTGCTCACTACTGTCTGATGGGCCTGTAACTTCAATTCCTCACTTCCATATCTTCCTTTTCGTTATCTAATTACAGAAAAATGCAGACTCTCAGAAACACCAAGGTGTCCTGGCACTTTTTGGAAGAACACAGCATGGAAAGCCAGGTGCAGTTTCCCTGGAACTGCTTGTAGTAGGCACACAAGAAACACACTTCAGCAGGTCAAAATGTATCTCCCATTAGAAAGGCAAGATAGGCTTACAGAAAGAATTTTTTTTTCCTCATCGCTCAAGGTATTTTAACTTACAGAGCAGGTTTACGCACGTTTTCTAGCTTTTTTTCATCATCCTGTTACAGAACACAGACTCAAACATCTATTACATACTTCTCAAACTTGCATCAAGACTGTAATTGATCTGGATATCATGTTATAGTAACATGCACATATGATATATTTAATACTGTACAAGTGAAAAGAATTCCAGTAAAATTTAAAGTACTTTCTTGCTTGTTAAAAGTGGATTAATTTGTAGCTGAAGACAGTGTTAAATATGCTTGGATTTTTCTATCTCATATCTTCTTTGTACCTGCCCTAATTCCATGTTATCTTGAGTTTGGAGGTCCATCCACTGTCATCACCATCATCATCACAATTTTCATTGTTAATTTTTTTTTCTTTCTGTTACGAGTATCACTGTGACAGTATTCACTTCCCAAATACATGCAGAAAATTGTTATCTTGGGCATGACTTAACACAGCTGCAAAATATTTTCCTATTTCAGCAGGGAAGTATTCATGCTCAGTTTTGAATTTTTCAGCTGGAAAAAAAGCTGCCTATTTTTTTACACATTATTTCACTTATAATGTTTGGACATCTCATACTTATGCAATTACAGTGCACTCCTCTCTTTTAAGACAGAAATGGAATTCGGAGCTTTCGACTGGATCAGAAAAACAGAACTAGGGTATCTAAATCAGATTAGCTACATTATTTTGAAATATGATTTACCCTTATTCTCCTGCTACCTAAATCCAGAGACACCTAAACAAGCCTAAGATTTCTTTGGTGGAGTTCCCCGAACATTTAAAGCCCAACTTCTCTGCACACACAGGAATAAACCATGCTGACACCGTGAGCAGGCCACGGTAAAATGTATCTCACATTCAGGCTCTTTTGAGATCCACAGCAGAGTATTCCTCAGTCCCAGTGGCTGGGGCTTATTGAACAAACCATACCTCTGTTCAACTCACACATCTGACAGCTGGGGCTTTCAATGCTTTTTCAAACTTGACTGGAAGAAGTATCCATCTTCCCTACAGAGGAGCAGTGGCCTGTGCAAGTAAGAATCTGTCTAACTTGTCTTTGATCTTGTTTGACCTTTTTTTCCTTCCTCTTTCTTTCTCTAATACCTGCTTCAGGGTGCATATGTCTCCTGTGTGCTACAGAGGAACTGTCTGTGTTTCCCTATATAGCCAGAATCCTACAGTCCAGACTGACATGCTGAATATCGCATTTCACAAGAACTGAGGTTATGGGATACAAGAATTCCATGCCTTTGTCTTTCTTAAGTGATTTTGTTTTCTTCATACCCCATATTCTTGCTGCTCTTTCTGGGGTGGCTGAGACTCACATTATCCCTGTAAAGGCTGTTCCACCTTTTCTGGCATACTTTAGGATGGATGCTGGATGAGAGAAAAGCAGAGGACACCAGCATACCCAGCGTTTCATCAGGTAGAGCAGTTTTCTGAATGTCAGAGATGTACAAGTAAATCTCTTCAGGCAGACAAAGGAAAGTTTCCACATCTCAGTTGCTGAGGGCAGCACAGTGCTGTCCTATGGGGCTGGAGCTGAGCCCATCAGCACACCACAGTGCTCTCAAACTGCAGGGCTGCACAGCCTACCTTTTACCTTGTATCTACATCCAGCTCTATTCCAAATGACTAACCAGCACTGCTTTGAAAAAAAAATTAAAAAGAGACCTTCAGGGGAGAGGCCAGTAAATCCTTGAAGATGCACGGAGCAAGACTTTCACATCCCAGGGAAAGGAGAAATACTGTAGCTTCAGCATTTCCCATTTGCTCACTCAGTGGGTTACTGATTAACAACACATTGTTCTTTAAGGAGTTCCTCTTTGAGGTCCATAAATCTCCTCATGGATTGCACTAGAGTGGCTGGTGATCTGGAGTGAAATGCTGAGCAGAAGCCACTTTTTGGAACGATGCCTTGGTAAGAAAACTGCTACCACATGGATTAGTAAAGTGATTAGTGAGGACCTTTGTTATTCCAAGGTTAAGGCTCTGGAACAGCAAACTTCTTTGCACCTTTTATTAAAACTTTGTTCTACTAAGCATTTAAAAACTGTGCTGGCCCATGCTCAAATTAGTAATGTACTATTCTCTACCTACTTAACCCCAGGAAGGTGACATAGCTCAAGATTTAGTTTATCTTTGGCACTATGCAACAATCAATTCAGTGCAAAGCACTCTAAAGAGATTTTTTTCAACACTTTTATATGCTTTTTAGAGGAGATCTGAGAAAACTTAAAAGTACAGTACAAGAGAACAACGCAAAAAAGAAAAAAAAGTACTTCACTGAAAATATTGAGAATTTTGATTCAGTTTTCATATAGAGAAACTATATTCCAGTTTCACACAACATAATTCTTCCATACGATGATCTTCAGAGTCATTAATGCAGAGGCATCAATGATCTGCAAGTATGAACAAAATCTTTGAATTCTGATGCCCTGTATCATATTCACAGGTCTGCTACTACCAAACATGACTGCAAACTACCTGTGATTCAAGATACTTAATTTAACATCGTAGGAAGTGAGAAGTACAATTTTCCATATAACATTGGCTTTAGAAAACATTTTGTACATTTTTAATTGTTGTCAGGTTTTTTTGTTATTTTGTTGTTGTGTTCAGGTATTCTTTGCCCCTTTTTTATAGAAGAAATACATTAAATAATAAGACCTAGGATTTTTATTTATTGTTGTTATTAATTTGGCAACAAGAAATCCTCAGGACAGTAGTACTTCGCAGGAAGATTCCACAAAGCATCTCTGGCTGTGCCATCTGCCAGCTTGTCTTTCACTCCTCCCACTTTCTACAGGGCCATTCTGGTAGGAGCCAGAACTATGTTCAATCTGTATATGCACATGGGGACTATGACTTTAGAAGTAAAGAGGCTCAAGACAAAGTCACTTTCAAATTGATGCTTCAAGAGACATGGAGGATTCAAGGATTCACTCAGTAAACCTCATCTGGCTCCGTTCTGGATCATTCCAGACAATTCCTCTTTCAGAATCAGTTTGCCATGGGTATTGTAAATAAAACACCCTGTTTTCAGAAAGAGGGATGATAGAGACAGAGCAAGTGTATGCTTCCAATCCATTTCATCCATTGCCACCTCTACACAATATCCATGATTGTGGCTCTCCAGTTTGCCTTGTCATTCCACTTGGCTTATTTTTAGTACAAGATTCATGATCCAATTCTTGTATGCTGATCCTACAGCTTTTTTGTTACATACTGCATATATTTAATGTGAAGATTCTAAGAGTTCTGGATTTGGGTGATCCCTGCATATACAAGAGTTCATGAGAACAGGAAAGGGAAGCAACAATCCTCTAGAGAGAGATGATGTACTTTTAACCAGAAGGATAACTTTTGATGTGCTAGGAAGGTTAGCAGAGAACAAACAGATCTAATAATAAAAGCCACATAAGCCTTGTTGAGGCAGAGGGACAATGTACATAAAAAGTGAACTTTTTTTTGTTCTTTAGAAGATAATTTATTGTTGACTCTGAACTCAAGCTAAAAAAAGCACTTAATCTCTTTAGGCTCTCAGTTTTAGAAAATACTTGCTAGATATGTGTGAGAGCTGGAAGCAGTCAGCTTCACTAAAGAGCAAAGGTGTTATTACCGTAACTCTTTTAATAAACCAAATTTTTTCTCAGGTTTTTTTGACCCTACAGCAATATAGCTTACTCTAGTGTCCCCCCTAATGCATTTATGTCTATGTGGACTTTTAGGCTGGTAATTATTCTGGGGAAATCTAAATAAAAGGTTTTTTCAAAATTGCCAATACTCAACAGTTTCTAGATATTGCCTATTTTAAAATCTGTACAACTAAAAATTATATCCTTTAGTATCACTTGCCATTAAAGTAATAAAGCAGTATTTCCAACAGAGAAGGAGAATAATTTTT